TGGATTCCTCTGTTTGTTAAGCTTTGGGAAAAAAATTACAAGTTAGCCCTAAAATGTAGAGTCAAGTATCATTCTCTGCTTTAGGTTGCTGTGTGTTTGTTTTAGTTTTTTTGTTTAGTTTTTTTGGAGTTGACATGGCTAGTTCATTAAAGGATACATGCAAACAGTAAACAATGCAGACCTAAATGAAGCTATAAGTTCACCGTAATACTTGACAAAACCGGCTGATACTGTAGCATTACAGGAGATAGCAGCATCACTGGAAAGACGATAAATCCAAATTAGCTTCAACTAGCAGCTAACATTAGCTAAGCCAGATAAGCTAGTCAAAGTTAGCATTTATGGCTGGCCCTCGCTAACGTTCAACGAAGTCAGTCATCTTGTCGAAACCCACCTCAGCTCACTTTCTTCTAAAGTGACGCCAACTTATCTGTAGAGACTGAAAAGGGCTTCAGACATCGACAGTTACTTCCAGTGTTGTCGCGTAGCCTCTGGTGTGAGGGTAAAGCGTCTCTCCCAGTTGCCCCTGACAACCTTACAGACTGCACAGGAGGTGGAGCGAAGAGAAACGACGGAAAAACCCGACAGTTGTCGAAGTTAATTCTAAACTGAGAGAAGCCTAATCAGGCACAAAGAGTATTAATTTCTGATGGAGTTGTCACAGGCTTTACTCATTCTGAATGAATATTGTCAGTTCTACGAAAATGTTTAGCCGAGATAACCTTGCAAAACCGAAAGTGCCTTGAACTGTGTGACATTTGCATGTTTACTGTTGTCTGTTGTCATTTCGCAAACATTTCATATTTTAAAAAGCTTTTTAAATTGATCAGCGAGGTGGCTTTCATTGGTTTTAAAGGTAGCCTATTATGCTATTTTCAACCTACACATTAATATTCTTCGATCCTACAAGTTGCGTTGCATGATTCAACACACAAAATAGTCTATTAGGTTTTATCTATATTCTTCTTAATGCAGCCCATCAGCTCATCCAGCGCCTTTTGGCTGGCAAGGATTACCTGCAAGTGTGCTAATTTGAAGCTCTGTTAATGTTTAACGAGCATCAACCATTATAACAATAAACACAATTACAATTTTGGATAATGTCCCATTTTATAGTAGTTTTGCCTCTGCACACGACCATAGTGGATTTTAGATCAAACAATGAAGACTTTAATTCAAGGGGTTTAACAAAAGTACTAAATTAACTCATTAAGAATTTAAAAAAAAATTCTTGCATAGTGCTCCTTTTTTAAAGACCTAAAAGTAATTTGTCATGGTCTACAGTCAAGATGTCTTCACGAATGGAAATACAGAGGGTTTACTACAAGGTGCAAACAATTAGCAAGGACAGATTAGAGTTTGCTGCCAATAGAACCAGGTCACTAGTGTTTATTGATGATGTGACTGTACAGGGCTATGCTCTCAGCTCGTA